GAAATATCTATAGAATATGCACAAAGACAACTGAGAAGGGAATCAAAATACGTCAGGACAAAAAAATCAACAAAACACAAGAGGAAGATAGCAAGAGAGGAAAAAAGGGAAAAAAGGAAAAAAATATATTCTGTCCAAATATATGGACAGAAATGAAGAGAGAAACAGACAACAAGACAATAACAGTAGGAGATTTCAATACCACACTTTTGGTTATGGCTAGAACAATCAGATTATTAATAATGAAAGAGAAGAGTTGAATGATACTATAAACTAGAGAGACATAACAAACATATCCAGAACACTCCACCTAACAACAGCAAAATACATGTTTTTCTCAAGCATACATGGAACATTCTCCAAGACAGACCACATGTTATGACACAAAACAAGTTTTAACAAATTTAAGAAGATGAAAATCATAAAAAGAACCTTCTCAAACACAGTGGAATAAAACTAGAAATCAACAGCAGAAAAAATACAAGATAATCCACAAATATGTGAAAATTAAACAATATGTTCTTAAACAACTCATAGGTCAGAGAAAAAATCAAAAAGGAATTTAGAAAATATCTGGAGACAAATGAAAACAACAACACAAAATACCAAAACCTATGGGATTCAGCAAAAGCAGTACTAAGAAGAAGTTTATAGTGGTAAATGTTTACATTAAAAAACATCTCAAACCAACAACCTAACCTTACACCCAAAGGAACAATAAAAAGAAGAACAAACTAAACCCAAAGTTAGCAGAAGAAAGGAAATAATAAATATTAGAGCAAAGATAAATGAAATAGAGAATAGAAAAAAATCAATGAAAACAAGAGTTGGTTTTGAAAAGATTAACAAAAGTAACAAGCCGTTGGTGACATTAAGTAAGAAAAAAAAGAGAAGACTCAAAAAGCTAAAATTAGAAATGAAAGAGGAGATATTGCAATGATGTCCACTGAAAGACAAAGGATCATAAAAGACTCCTATGAATAATTATATGCCAAAATATTGGATAACCTAGAAGAAATGGATAAATTCCTAGAAACATAACAAACTACCAAGACCAATCTATGAAAAAAATAAAAAATCTGAACAGACCTATACTAATGAGGAGATTGAAGCAGGAAGCAAAAACCCCCCAACAAAGAAAAGCCCAGAAATAGAGGACTTCACTGGAGAATTCTATCAAACATTAAAAAAATAATTAACACCAATTCTTCTCAAACTCTTCCAAATAACCAAAGAGGAGGGAATACTCTCAAACCTATACCATGAGGCCAGCATTACCCTGATACCAAAACCAGACAAAGACCTTACAAGAAAAGAAAATTACAGACCAATATCCCTGAGTAATATTGACGCAAAAATCCTAAACAAAGTACTAGCAAACAGAATTCAAAAGCATATTAAAAGGATTATACAGCAAAACCAAGTAGAATTTATACCTGGAACACAAGGATGGCTCAATACATGTAATAATATGTAACAATATAATACACCACATAAACAAAATGAAGAACAAAAACCACATGATCATCTCGCAATAGATGCAGAAAAAGCTTTTATTAGAAGATTCAACACTCTTTTGACAAAATTAATAAAAACAGTAAACTAAGAATATAAGGAAACTCAACATAAAAATCCATATACGAACATGTCACAACAAACACGATACTCCATGGGGAAAGACTGATAGCTTTTCCTCTAAGATCAAGAATAAGACAAGGTTGCCCAGTCTCGCCATCACTATTCAACACAGTACTGAAAGTTCTAGATAGAGCAATTAGAAAAGAAAAAAATAATAAAAGGCATACAAATTGTAAAACAAGAAGTAAAATTCTCTTTGTTTGCAAATGACATGATATATGTAGAAAACTAAAGATTCCACACACACAAAAGAAAACATTAGGACAAATAAATTCAGCAAAGTTGCAGGATACAAAATCAACACTCAAAGTCAGTTGCATTCCTATATGTTAACAATCACCAATCCAAAAAGAAAATTAAGAAAACAATCCCATTTACTATAGCATCAAAAAACATAAAAATATTTCAGATTAAACTTGACCAAGGAGGTAAAAGATTTGTACACAGAAAACTATAAAACATCTCTGAAGAAAATCAAAGAAGATAACAGAAAGACACCTCACACTCACGGATTGGAAGACTTATTATTGTTAAAATGTCCATGCTATCCAAAGCAATCTATAGATTCAATGAAATCCCTATCAAAATTCCAATGGCATTTTCTGCAGAAATAGAAAAAAACATACTAAAATTCATATGGAACCTCAAGGGACCTCAAATAGCTGAGACAATCTTGAAAAAGAAAAACAAAGTTGGAGGCCTCAAATTTCCTGACTTCAAAATATACTACAAAGCAACAGTAATTAACACAGTGCCATGCTGGCATAAAGATAGATAGATATGTACACCTAAAACTAATACAGTATTATATGTCAATTATATCTCAATTTTTAAAAATAAAAATAAAAAAATAATTTAAAAGATAGATACATAGACCAATAGAACAGAACTGATAGCCCAGAAATAAATTCTTGCACATAAGTCAAAATGATTTTTGACAAGGGTATCAAGACAACACAATGGGGAACAAACAATCTCTTCAACAAATAGTGCTGGGAAAAGTGGATATCCACATGCAAAAGAATAAAGTTAGACCCTTTCCCTACCATGTACAAAGTTAGACTATGTACAAAAATTAACTCAGAATAGATCCACAACCTAAATCTAACATCTAAACTTATTAAACTCCTAGAAGAAAATAGGGGGAAAAGCTTCAGGACATTGGATTTGGCAATGATTTCTTAGACATGACACCAAAAGCACAGGCTTAACAAAAACAAAAATAAACAAGTGGGACTACACCAAACTAAAAAGTTACAGCACAGCAAAGGAAACAATCAACAAAACGAAAAGGGAGAAAGTATTTGCAAAGCATATATCTGATAAGGGGCTAATATCCAAAATATGTAAGGAACTAATACAACTCAACAGCAAAAAAACAAATAACCTGATTAAAAAATGGGTAAAGCACTTGACTAGATATTTTTCCAAGGAAGACATACAAATGGCCAACAGGTACATGAAAGTGTGCTCAATAGCACTTATCATCAGGGAAATGCAAATCAAAACCACAATGAAATATTATCTCACACCTGTTAGAATAGCTGTTATCAAAAGGACAAGAGAAAACAAGTGTTGGCAAGAATGTGGAGAAAAGGTAACTTGTGCAACCACTGGTGAGAAAGTAAAGTGGTTCAGCAACTATGGAAAACAGTATGAAGGGTCCTCAAAAATTTAAAAATATAACTACCATATGATCTAGCAATCCCACTTCCAGGTATATATCCAAAGGAAACAAAATCACTATCTCAAAGAGATATCTGCACTCCCAAGTTCATTGCAGCATTCACAATAGCCAAGATATGGAAACAACCTAAGAGTCCATTGATGGATGAATGGATAAAGAATATATATATACACACACACACACACACACAGAATGCAATATTATTCAGCCATAAAAAAGAAAGAAATCCTGCCAGTTGTGACATGGATGAATCTGGGAGACATTATGCTAAGTGACAAAAAAAGACAAATATTGCACGATCTCACTTATATATGGATCCTTCAAAAAAAATGAAAAAAAGCCAAACTCACAGTAACAGAGAATAGAATGGCGGTTACCAGGGGCTGCGGGGAGGGGGTCATAGGGAGTTATTGTTTAATACACACAGAGTTTCAGTTTTGCAAGATGAAAAGAGTTCTGAGATGGATGGAGGTGATGCCTGCACAACAATGTGAATGCACTTAATAATACTGAACTGTACACTTAAAAAATGGTTAACATAACCATAACTTGACGGTATGTGTATTTTACTACAGCAAAAAAATTGGAAAAAAATGTATACATCAATGTATATATAAATGTGTGTATGAGTGAATATATATACACACACACATATGTACTTATTTGTATGTTTTTTTTTCACAGCAAAAAACTATAAAATATATTATAAAATGTTAATGGTGCTTATACATTAGAGTGAGATTACAGGCAATTTGTTTTCGTATGTACTTTTCTTACTTTTTCAAATGTTTCACAATAATACTTTTATAATCATATAACACAATAAACATTATTTTTCAAAACTCCAAAAATAAAAAAGTGCATTACCAAATAGCATGTCAATATTATTTCATTTTTCTTTTTTCTTTTTTGTTTTGTTTGGCTTTTTTTTTTTTGCTGAGGAAGATTCGCCCTGAGCTAACATCCATGCCAATCTTCCTCTATTTTGTATGTGGGATGCCTGCCCCAGCACAGCTGATGAGTGGTGTAGGTCTGCGCCCGGGATCCAAACCCGCGAACCCTGGGCCACCAAAGCAGATCGTGCTGGACTTAACCACTATGCCATGGGGCTTGCCCAATATTATTTCATTTTTAAAAAAATAATATATATAACTATGGAAAAACAGGAAGGTAAACAAAAATGTTCACAATAGTTGGTTATCTCAGGGAAATAGGATTTTGGTGATTTTTATTTTCTTTTTGCATGTCTTTATTTTTTTAATTTTCATTAATTATGACATATTACTTTTGTAATATAAACTTGCTTAGAAAAAAACACAATAAAGTATAAATACCACATAAGAAAATACTAATGATCCAATCAATGCTGTACTTAAAGAAAAATTCACAGATCTAAATGCCTATGTTAAGAATAAAGAAAAATAAAAATAATGTTTTCTAATGTCTATTGTAACTCCTTAAGTCATTGTATCTACAAGACTAATATTGCTGAATGGATTTTCACATTCAAGTTTAATCAATATAACTTTAAATATTTTATTACTAAAAGTATTAATAATTTGATTATTAATAATAATATAATTAATATTGTTGGTTTATCACTGATTTATTATTAACATTATTGATTGCTAATAATTAAAATTATTAAAATATTAAGTGTACATAGAATACCTACATTACGTTCCTCCTTAACTGCTTCCTCTAACTGAGCTGCAAATTGTGAACAACATATCAAGAATGAACTCAGATCATCCCCAACCTTTTGAAAAGAATAACAAAACAGAAAGTCACTTTTATTTCAGAATCCATATGCATATCCATTTATATTTCAGTATATTTAACAACTTCTGAAAATATTTTCGTGTAGGTAACTTATGTCCCTTCAAACATATAAGACACAAAACCATAGTCCAAATGCTATACTAGCAAACTCTCCCAGAAAGAAAGTTTGGAAGAAAAGTACATTCTGGGGAGTGGCCCACTAATGACATATACCCAGCTACGTCTCTCCCGTCATTCTCCTCTATACAGTTGCAGAAAAGCAAGCATCCTAGACTTAGACTCCTGAAATTTCTAGGTGGCCAAAAAAGTATCCACTGTGTAAACATCTCTTTGTGTTAGAAAATGAATGCCAGTTATGACTTCTGATTATAAGTATACTTGCCAAGAGCTGTAGTCTTTCATCCTCACTTAATTGGCAATAGAAAACTTTGAGGAAAAAAATAGTTACAGATTAAAATGTCACAATGATTGAATCTGTTCTAGTAGAGCAGTGATTTGTAAATCAGAGAACTGATCCATGACAAACAAATCTCAGATGCTTATACACACTTAGGATTCTCATAGAATGTTCTCCATGAGCAATATGTTCCTTCACCATTACATTTTAAACATACTCAGGCGCATATACCTTTTTGTCATGGTAAAGACCTACAATCATATAGGAGAGGGCAGAAAAACTGCAACAGTCATTTAGCAGAACAAGAAAATGAATGAACTAGAGTTACTAATCACAAATATTAAGTGAGACCATTAGCAGACTTGGGGATTTTCTTCCACCCACATTCAGGGGCCACAAATATAGAGAAGGCGGAGATTGATTTGATCAGAGTTTCAGTTTAACAAAATAAAAATCAATAAGTAATCAATAAAGCAAGACAGGGCAAGAGACTTAAGGACATATGCAAGGGAGCAATGATAACAATGGCATGGAATTTAAGCTAGGTAAGTAAGAACACAAGGATTTGGGACAGTAAAAGGCAGTAGGATCAACAGATTACAGTTCCCAATGGAATCAAAGGATTTTTGGAGTCAGAATATTAGACAGACTGAGTGGGAAAGATAAAGGCAGTGGCCAGAGATTAGGATGGCTGAAATTTAAATTATGGAAGTTACAGTTATTGGTAATGACAAGGACTAGAGGATATCATCTTGTCAGTTAGAGGTTGAGGTAGGATAGAAGGCAAGATCATTGAAGGAAAGAAATTCAATAAACTGAGATGCCAGATTATTTCGAAAGATTTTCTACATGGATATCGAAATCATTAAAAATTATGACAACAGTAGTGTTACGAAACAAGTAGAATATCATAACAATAGAGACTATTAGTTGCCTATCTTATATTATAAGATTATTCTTTTCTTCCTTACTAAAAGTACCTCAGTTTTTTTAGGGATGACAATATGCATAGCTAATAATAATAATAATAAATTTCCAAGCCTCCTTTACCAATAAGGGTAGCCACGTGTCCCAATCAGGCTAATGAGACAAAAAGAAATTGTTGGGCAGCACTTCTAAAAAGATTCTTAAAAGGGAGGCAGAAATGCCACTTCTGATTAGGATGTAAAAAGACATGAGAGGCCTTAACTCCAGTGTTAACTTCCCAAAAAGAAAAAATATATAAAATAAAATAATTATCATGCTTTTCCTTGAGGACACTGAAAAGGAGAGGACACAAGGAAAACTTGATGAACTGAATTCCACAGAAGAACACTTTGTAGATGAGTAAAGAACCAAGGCCACATCCATACCTAAAGGGGGCATGGTGGAGGGAAAAGAGCATTTGGCCTAGTGTGTACAGTCAAAAAGCGGGCCTGCTATTGACAAACAAAATTCAGAGGATGAAGAAAAACCAGCTGAGCCTTTGACAGCCATTTAAGCTGACAGATGGACTGGAATGAGGAAGAGCTCCCAAAGCAAATCACTCAATCCCACCATTTTTCTCCCACCAAACCCCTCCCCATCTGAATTTTACCAAGAACGTAGCAGAAGAGGAAACCTACGTACCCAATAGGAATGGTAAAAATTTTAAATACCAACAATACCAATTTTGGTAAGGATGTGGGGCCACTGGAACTCGCACACAGAGCTGATAGGAACACACAATGGTACTGCCATGATGGGAAACAGTTTGACGATTCCTCAGAAAGTTAAACATATACTTACACTATAACCCACCAATCCTATTCTTAAGTAATTATCCAAGATTAACGAACACACATGTCCTCACAATGACTTGTACACAAATGTTCATAGGAGCTTCACTCATAATAGCCAAAATAGCTACTGGATCCATCAACCTAAATGTTTTTTAACGGCAAATAGATAAACAAATTATGGTACAGCCATACAATGGAATACTCTTCACAATAAAAGGAAGAAATTACTGATACATAGAACAACATGGATGAATCTCAAAAACATTATGATGAGGAGGGAAAAGCTAGATAAATAAGGCTACACACTGTATGATTTTATTTATATGAAATTCTAGAAAAGGCAAAACTATAGTGATAAATCAGTGGCTGTCTAGAGCCAGGGTAGGAGGAGAGAACTGACTGCAAAAGGTTATAAGGGAGCTTTTTAGGATAATGAAAATGTTTTATAGTTTGATTGTGGTGGTGATTACACAACTATAAAAAAAGAAGGAGCTAGAGAAATCTCATCCTGCACAATCTTGTGGTAATTGTATTTCAAAGCTCTGCCAGGATTGAACTTTTCGAAAATGTGAACCAAAACTATTAAAATTGAAGTCCAAACTCCTTCCAGCTAAAATACTGGCAAGATTAAAGAAACAAGCCCCTCAGGGGAAGCAGCAATAGGAGAGACTGTGGATTAGACAAATCAGACAAGAACTCAACCTAATTAAACATAGGGATCACTTCCTGACCAACTCAATTCTTAGAGGAATAAGAATGATCAGCCCTTCACTCTAAATTCCAGAAAAGAAAGGGCAAACATTCTCTAGAAAACAAAACACTGTACCACAGTTTCCGATGTTCTTCTAAATACAATGCTTGAGATCCAATAAAAAATTACAAAACATATGAAGAACCAGAAAAATACAACCCATAATCAAAAGAAAAAATAGTTAGAAGAAGCAATCACACTGATGATCCAGATATTGGAATTAGCAGAGAACAAATTTTTAAAACTCTATTATCAATAAGATAAAAGAATTTACAGGAAAAGATAGAGTAGGTGAACAGATGGATAAAAGCAGGAGAGATACAAAAACCCCTACAAAGGAACCAAAAGATAATCCTAAATATAAAAATTACAATATTTGAAGCTAAAAGTTTCATTGGCTAGAGCTTAACAGCAGATCAGATACCACAGAAAGGACTGGTGAACTTGAAGATAGGGTAATGTATGTTGTCCAAACTGAAGCACAGAAAGAGAAACATTGAAATAAATGAATGGATTGTGAGTGATTGCTTACACTGTATCTAGCAGTCTAACATATGTGTAATTGGAGTCTCATACAAAGGAGGAGGGGAGGCAGTAAAATATTTGAAGAAATAGTCAATGAAAATTTTCCAAATTTGATGAAAAACATCAACTCACAGACTCAGCTTGATGGACTCCAAGCAGAATAAATACAGAAAATATCTCACCAAGGCATATCTAATCAAATTGCTGAAACCCAACGATAAAGAGAAAATCTTTAAAGCAGTCAGAAAAAAAGACGAAACAATAATATCACAACAATAGCACAAAAAAAATAAGTCAGGTAAATGTTATACTGCTATAAGGTTCTCACATTAGAAATGAAGTGGTATAATATTAATTCAAGATAGATTGTGATAAGTTTAAGATGCATATTGAATCCCTAGAGAAAGCACAAAAAAAGACATAGGTAAAAAGCAAAAATGAAATAAAATAAAACACTAAAAAATACATAATTAATCCAAAATAAAACAGAAAAGAAAGAATAAAAGAGCAAAAAACATATAGGACAAAAAGAAAGTAAATAACAGGATAGTAGACTTAATTCACATTATTTCATTAACATTTCATTATAATAAATTAATTACATGATATGACATTTAATTGCATCAATTAAATGTAAATGAACCAAATGCACTAATTAAAAGACAGAGATTGTCAGACTGGATAAAAAAGCAAGACTCAACTATATGCTATTTCAAAGAGACACACAGTAAATACATAGTTATAGAAAGTCTGAAAATAAAGTTTGAGAGAGGATATAACATACAATGACTAATCATAAGAAAGCTGATATCAGACAAAATAGACATCAGAACATAAAAGTGTGTCAAAGATAAAAAATAGTTTTGGACTTCCAGTTCTGGCCATGATGGACTAAGCCCATTCCTCTAATCCTCCCTCCTACAACTAAAATGCTGTAGACAACACAACAAACCAACAAAAGAAAATTCTGAAAGGTGGAATAAGAAGGCAGAGGTCTTGGGACTTGAGGAATACAAGAGTTCCTTGGGTTTTCCTTTTACCTACATATAAATAAAATGTCTGGGACACTGCAAAAGACAGCAACCTGAAGTGTCAATAAGCACAGAGGCAAAAAAAGCCCTAAGAAAAGCCACAGGACTATGAAAAGGACTCTCTTGTGTAATACAAAACCTTTTTGACCATACTTATGCTACTTGAGCCAAACACCAAGAAAAAAACTGCACCACCACCCATAGGTGTTAACAGAACTGAAAAATAATACCGCAGTGAAATTGGGCCCTCCATTACCCTCATCGGTGTGGTGTCAACAAGGCTGAGTGGAAAGTCAATCTCCACCACCTACTGGTGGTAGTAGGTGGCACTCCAATTCCCCCACCAGAATGGTGTTGGTGGAACAAAGCAGGGAACTGAACTTCTACCCTTGTCTAAAAGTAGAATCAGAACGAGTCCAGGAAGTCTGCTCTCATCACTATTATTAAATATAATATAGAAGCCAGAGCCAGCACAATAAGTCAAGAGAAGGAAACAAAAAGCATTCAGATTGGAAAGAAAGAAGTAAAATTGTCCCTATTTGAAGATGACATAATTGTCTATGTAGGAAATTCCAAGGAATCTGCAGAAAAACTCCTAGAATAAAAAAGTACATTGACAGAGTGATGTCAGCGTCATGGCGCAATGAGCTTTCCCATAAACTCTCCCCCTGATAAGAGATAACAAAAGGAACAGTCACAGACCAACAACGGACTCCTAGACAGTGAAAAGCAAGATCAGAAAGATCCACACTGCCATACATCTGAGAGTGGAACGTGCTGGGCCCCTGGAGGAAGTGGGGAGAGGTAAGGAGAACTCCTCTCCCTCCTCATCAGATCAGGGATCCCAGTCCGCGTGGCTCCCAGAGAGGGGGGAGGGGCGGCCCTCTGCGGGGAAACCGTAGCTCTTCGGGCTCTCTCAGCCAGTAGGAAACTCCCACAAAGAGAACTCAGAACTGCTACAGGGGCACCATCAACATCTGAGCACCCCAGGAAAGTGGATAACAAGGGGTGATCAAGAAGCCTCCCACGCCAGCAACCCAGCGGGCAAAAGAGAGAGCCCTCCCCCTCCCCACAAACTGGACACTGCAGCTCAGTCGACCAGACCAGGTCAAGCAGCCGGTGGATCGCAGCGAACAACCAGGGCAGAGTGCAGGGGGCTCAGATTACACAGCCCTTAACCCCCACACAGTGGTGGTGGGTGGAAATTGCAACCAGATATTTCCAGGATGAGGAAAAATAAAGCCAATACAAGGACCACAACGCAAAGGTACATGAAATCACCAGACCAGAAGGAAAATCACAAGCACCCAGAAACTAACCCTGAAGACACAGAAATCCATAACCTAAACAACAGAGATTTCAAAATAGCTATCATAAAAA